CCCCGCATGTAAGGCAGTGACTTTGTAGTAAATTACAGGTTAGCCATGGGAGAAAGACCATCTGCCAATCGAGAGAGCCTCCTATTCCTTCAAGAGATGAACTCCTAAAACATTTTGTGAATTGTACTTGTGTATATCTTTTTAACGCATGGGGGCAGTTTGACTTTTAAAGGAATCTCATCTGTCATCAAGCTCCATTTCTCTGTTCCTTAAATAATTCTTAAACCTATCTCCTCATCATTACCCTCCGTATCCTGGCTTTATTCACATACACATTTCTCTAACTTGGCTACTGCATTGGCTTCTCTATAGGTCTCTACACCTCCACTTTCCTCCCATGTAAGCCACTCTTGACATTGCTGATTCATTCTAATGCTTAAAAGCATGTTTTTATACACATTTAAAAAGTGTTACATTTATTGAACAAATATTTACTGAGTATATTATGTACCAGATGTTATTCTAGGCACTGGGATATAGCAGTGAACCAAAGGAACAAAAAAAATCCTTGTCTTCAGGCATCTTCTATTCTGTACAGTTCATGATTGCCATTATTATATGAACGTATTGAGAAAGATCCTATATAATAAAAGGATAATATGCAAATTGACCCTAATAGTGGGACGACCAGGAACTACTGGTCACTATGACATGCACTGACCACCAGGGGGCAGACATTCCATGTAGGAGCTGTCCCCTGATGGTCAGTATGCTCCCACAGGGGGAGCTCTGCTCAGCCACAATCTGGACTGAAGGCTGTGAGCACGCAGCTGCAGTGGTGGGAGCCTCTCTAGCCTCTGCAGCAGTGCTAAGGATGTCTGACTGTGGCTTAGGGCTCCTGGGCTGCCAGAGGGATGTCTGACTGCCAGCTTAGGCCTGATCCCCCAGGAAGCATGCCTAAGTTGGGAGGTGGACATTCCCCGAGGGGTCTGGGGGTCTCAGACTGCAAGAGGACGTAGGCTGGGCTGAGGGATCCACTCCCTCTCTCTCCCCAACCCCCGAGTGCATGAATTTCATGCACTGGGCCTCTAGTATATAATAATATTATATATCTTGATATATTTTGTTACAAATCTTGGCAGATAAGAATGATGATGTTGATGATTATGCCATCGATGAGAGTTTTTATTTTAGCAAACATTTATTATATGTCAGCCATTATGCTAAGCTGTTTACACATAAATGATGTTCTAACAACTCATGTGTATGTTATTATGATGCTAATTTTGTGAATGAGGAAATCGAGACTCAGAGAGTTTAAATCCAAAGTCAGAGATAAAAAAAGAAAAATGTTGGAGGCATAATATGAATATGACACTTTTTATCTTCAAGGTCTTGGTCCCTACACTACACACCTTCTCTTAATTGTTCAAAGTGTTTTAGAGGATGGACACACTTTTCCTCTAACCTCTCAAATTTAATAACTGGAAGCCTTCAAATTAAACCAACAAAAAATATTACCAAGAAGAAAAAGGTGTATTTGCCTATGTAATATGCACACACAAGGGACGACTCATTGATGAATAACTCAAAGGGCGGTTAGAATGGAAGGCCTACTTACCATTTCAAGAAAGGGTGATGAACTGTGGAGAAGTGACTAGGCAAAGGAAAAAGGGATTTGGGCTCCTAGGCTGGGTAAATCATGGGAAGGTGACCAGGAAATATATGGGGAAACTAAGGGAAGATAAGGGTTGTTGATGCAGACTCATCTCTGGCAATAAGTCATTCTCCTCTCCCTGGTATGGGGGCACCTTTAGAAATGGAAAATTCCTTTATAAATGGATTAAAAGTGAAATTTATACCCTACTTTTAGGCAATAGGGTGAGGGCAGAATGTTCTTCCTGTGTCTCTCTTTTCTTATTGCTTTTTTCTCAAAATAATCCTTATGCCAAAGTAACATATTCGGGGGTGGCATAATCTGATTCCCTTCAAGATTTATGAATACATACCTGAACACTACTTAAGCTCCTTGTAAAGCAAATAACTGTAATAATCTGTCTATAAAATGACAAACACTTTTGACAGTCATGACTGACAATGGGGGTGCTGCTGGCATCTAGTGAGTAGAAGCCCGGGGAACAGACCTCTACAGCAGAGAGTTATCTGACACTAAATCTCATGGTGCTGAAGCTGAGGAACCCTGACACATAATGGGGCAGTTATACACACAACAAAATGTAGACACACTTTTTCCTACCTGTTAAAGTCTGACAGAATGTATTCTTTATGTATTGAAATAGATCTTGTTTATATTTTAAAGGTTTCCTCCTCTGCCATCTTTTTAAAAATATATATTTTATTGATTTTTTACAAAAAGAAAGAGAGAGGGATAGAGAGTTAGAAAAATCAACGAGAGAATCATTGGTCAGCTGCCTCTTGCACACCCTGCTACTGGGGATGTGCCTGCAACCAAGGTACATGTCCTTGACTGGAATCGAACCCAGGACCTTTTAGTCCACAGGCCAAAGCTCTATCCTCTGAACCATATCGGTTTCGGCTCCTCTGCCATCTTTCAGTTTAAATTTAGTAATGGGTTTCCCCTGAATTCACTGCATTATGAATTGAGTACTATTTATATAGATATATTTCTGCATTGTAAGTACCATTTCACTCAATTGTTTATGGAAGCATTAACTTAAAATTCTAATCTAATGCCTTTATGTGACTTAAAAAGATAATTCACGTTCTGTTCTTCATTTATAAAAATGATGCCAAAGGCCACTGAAAGTAGCCATTCTTTAAACTGAACTACTGGTGGTGACGGATGAGTCATCAGTTCTTGCAAGTCATCATCCTGATAGCCATTTTGGAAGTGATGGGCTGGGTACAAATATCTGGTATGTGACTAAAAAACAGATGCGTTTTTTTGTGTGTGTGTGTGTGGGAAACTATATGATCTGTGTTTGATTCAAATCTGTGCTATTGACCTTTTTTATAATATGATTTTTAATTGATTTTAGAGAGGAAAGGAGAGGGAGAGATAAACATCTTATGAGAAACACTGATCAGCTGCCTCCCACACCACCCTTACTGGGGATCCAGCCAGCACCAGGGAATCTAGTCTGTGACCTTTTGGTGTCTGGGAGGAGCTCAGCTGACTGAGCCACACTGGCCAGGGCTGTGCTATTGATCTTGACAGCATCATATTTTTCAATTAAGTTCCCAAGAAGTTTCCTGGACTTCATAGTCCCATTTCATGGTTTGAAAGTGAAAATTTAAATTCATATCACAAAAGCCATATTCATTTAATCATTTTTCTTTTCCCTTCAAAATAGTTCTTAGGAATTCTTTGGGGTGGGGATCAGCGTTTGAAAAGGTGAGCTGATATAGAAAGTCACTCTATTCCCTGTTCCTCTCCACTTAAAACATCAGAGGCCTAGAATTTATTGGTTATAAAGTCCATTTCTTGACAGACATTAAAATCAATATTCGTAAACACCCATGAATAAAAAATGTACACTTAATACAGCATACATTTCTGTTCATAGATCAGAGTACCATAGTTGTTTTATGCCAAATGTACCATATTGCTAAGAGATTAAGCACATTCATTTTCAGTTTATATCATCATTTCGATTACTCATATAAGGTTTCTCCTAACGAATTTCTGGTTTCCTCTGAATTATCTTTTATTTTCTTTTTCTTTTTCTTTTCTTTTTTTTTTTTTTTAAGTAAGGTGATATTTGTGCATGCATGCTGGAGACACAGTTTCACCATTAAAAAAAATTAAATGTTCATTATTCTTATTTATTTAATAGTCATCACCATGAAACCTACATAAGATAATTTTGTACAAATGACCAATAGGAGCTTTGGTTTACTGCATCATTTCAGTTTAAGACAAGAATGGTGTAATTTTGGTCATCGGAGGGAACACAGAGAACATTCAGTGTTAAATACGACACCTATAATTAGGAAGACCTATGGTTATACCATAGCAATTTTAAGGATGAGGTAATTTGGGGAGAGTGGGGGGAAAAGCAGCAATTAATTAAAAGTTTTCAATGCAGTTTGTGTATGCTGCAGCACATTCGTTGACACCCAGAATGCTCTGTAAAAAGAAACGCCTGCTATCTGTTGTCCTAACCGGGTTAATGCGGCATGTCATGAATGGCACAGAAATACCCTTTCTTTCTCTTATTCCAACTTCAGAGGCCCTTCCATCCTTTCCCTGGGATCCAGGCGGCTTGGAACAAACGAGAAAAAAAAAAAAAATCCTGTGAAACAGCCCAGGGACTAGGGAATCAAGTTTCACTGAGGAAAAAAACAAAAAATAAAAAAACAAAAAAACCCCCACAAAACAAACAAACAAAAAAAAACTAGAAGGGCCGCGATTAGATTAGGCCAGGTGGGAAAGTGATATTGGCAGGTAGCGCGTTGGAAAGTTACCGCTTTGGTTATTTTTTAACCGGCGCCCTGCAAACGGCCCGCGTGGAGGTGTCTCACTCCCTATAACTTGAACATGAACTTCAGGTTCCACGCAGGTGGGGAGACGGGGCTGAATCCGAGAACCTGGGGGCGCCCCCCCCTCCTCTCCCTCTGCGTCCCCAGGGGCATCTCCTGGAGAGCCTGACCGTCAAGGCAAAGGCGCCGGGGAAGCCAGGAGCCCCGGGAACGGGGGGACGGGGACCCGAGCCCCGAAAGCACACCCACCCCCACCCCGCGCCCCGCGGGTGGGACCCCCCGGCCGCGAGCAGCGCGCAGGGGGCGGCGGTTCGGCGGAGGCGGCGCAGGAGGCAGAGCCGCGCGCACGAGGTCCGGGGCGCGCGGCGAGCGCGGCGGCCGCCGCCTCCCCCTCCCCTCGGCCGGCGCCGCCTCCGCCCTCCGCCCGGCGCGGCCTCCCGCTCCCGCCCCTCGTGGCTGGCTCCGGCGGCGGCGGCGGCAGGCGGGGAGGGCGTGCGCCGGCCGAGAGGTGCCGGCGACGAGGAAAGGGAAGTTTCAAGTGGAAGGTCGTCCGTCCACCGGCGCGTCCTCCGGCTGCTGCTCTCCCCGGCAGCATCATGGCGGAGCCGAGCGGCTCGCCCGTGCACGTCCAGCAGCCCCAGCCGGCGGCTCCGGTGACAGCGGCGGCGGCGGTGCCGGCGTCCCCGGCGGCCGCGACAGCAGCGCCGGCTCCGGCTCCGGCTCCGGCGGCGCCCGCGGCCCCGGCCCCGGCCCCGGCCTCAGCCCCAGCCCCAGCTCCAGCTCCGGCCCCGGCCCCGGCCCCGGCCCCGGCGGCGGCGCCCGCGGTCGGCTGGCCCATCTGCAGGGACGCGTACGAGCTGCAGGAGGTTATCGGTCAGTGCGGCGGGCGCGGCGGGCCGGGGCGGGAGGGGCGCGGGATGCCGGGCTCGCCTGCCTGCCTGCCTGCACGCCCGGGAGGCAGAGCGGCCGCCTTCGGGGCCTACCGGCTTCGACAGTTTTTTTTTTTTTTTTTAATTTATTTGTTCGTCTCTAAACGCCGCCGGTGCTGCAGGCGGCGGCGCGGCGGATGTGACTCGCGCCGCAGACAGCCGCATGCTGCAAACTTTTATCTCGCACATCGCCGGGGCGGAGGGGCCGGGGCCGGCAACGTCGCCGCCGCCGCATCCCCCTCCCTCCCTCCCTCCCTCCCTCCCTCCCGCCCGCGCGCCGGGGCCGCAGCCCGTGGCCGGGGGCCGCGCGGAGAGGCGGCCGCGGGAGGGGCGGGGGGGGTGCGGGGCGCCGCCCTGCGCTGCCCGCGCCCCCGCCTCGCGCCCCCGGGGGCCTCTGCGGGCGCGGCCGCGCCTCGGCTCTCCGCGCCCCGCGCTCCTGCTCCGCACCCGCAGCCTCGGGTGTCTATCTGGGCTGCGCGGAAGCCGCGGCGGAGGCCCCGGTTCTCCGCTCAGCGCCGGGAGGATGCTGGCTTCCCCCGCTCACAGCCGCTGGTCCAGCCGCCGCCGCCGCCGGGTACCCGCCGCGCTCGGGGCCGCGCCGCCTGCTGTCCGGCCCGGCCGCCCGGGAGAGCGGGCGCCCTGGCCTCCTGCCCGGCCCCGGGCGATGCTCCCTTCTGGTCCAGGGCCGCGCTCCGAGGGTGAAACCCGAGGCTCTGGGTGATCTGTTCCCTGGCTTCGATGCCTTCTAGTGGGCTCACAGATATCACCTTATCTTATTATACATTAAAAAAAAAAAAAAAAAAAAAAAAAAAAAACTGGCAAAGTCGTCCGGCGAGAAGCCGGAGTTACTTTTTCTTGGGCCAAGCACGTGAAGGGCCGGGCGATTTGGGTTGACCCTTTCTTTCCTCAGAGCCTTCCCTGTTGGGTGACCCTGTGGGAGAGGCTGGTTAAACCCGGTAAAAGGCGCCCTCAGCTAGTGGCCTTCCCGGTGCTGGGGTGGGATGCTGCTTCCCCACATCTTGATCCTTAAGTAGGGTGGCGGGGAGAAAGGGATTCAGAATATTTATCTTGAATGCTCTTTTGCTTTTCATGAATAATATTCTTCGACGGGCCTTTATCACTTGCTACGGTGTGAACGAAGCATAGTGCAGACTGAAATTGTGTGTGTGTGTGTGTGTGTGTGTGTGTGTGTATATATATATATATATATATATATATATATATATATGAATATAATAGGCAGAACATTTAACCTAGGGTATAAGAAGCTTCAAATAAGCTAACATGGCATCTCTACATAAAATTCTTTAAAAAAATCCCAGACCTGCCGAAACCGGTTTGGCTCAGTGGTAGAGCGTAGGTCTGCAGACTGAAGGGTCCCAGGTTCGATTCCGGTCAAGGGCATGTACCAGGGTTGCGGGCACATCCCTGGTGTGGAGTGTGCAGGAGGCAGCTGGTCGATATTTCTCTCTCATCGACGTTTCTAGCTCTCTCTCTCTTCCTCTCTGTGAAAAATCAATAAAATATATTTAAAAAAAGAAACTGTAGTTTCTTTAAAAATAAACAAACAAATAATAAATAAATAAAAAATCGCAGACCTTTCATAACTTTTGATCAAAGGCTTCCAAGTTTCAAGGGCTGAGTCTTGGTCGCTGCCTGGATTAAATAACGTAAAGGGTGTCTGAAAGGCTCGAGTGTTCAATGAAAATCCCTTGAACTGGCATATAAGCCCTCTCATCTCCAGTTTCACTGCCTCCCCCTCCCATGTTCTGCTTATATTCACTGTACCTGGAATAGTCGGCTGTCCTAGGACTCATCCTGTCTTCCATTCCTTGCCTTTGCCTGGCTCTTCTCTAAGTTCCCATCTTGGTAGGGAGGCCCTCAGCTTCCAAGGCAGCCACAGTGCATGTCCTCCAGAGGCCTTCTGATGCTTCTGCTCCTCTTTACACACCTCCTAGCTTGTAACGCCACAGTTTTTGTTTTCCCTACAGACTCTGAGGGCCTACTCTGTCTCAAGCACGGTGCTAGGTGCTCACAGTGTAGACATTAATAAAAATGGCTCCCGCCTCTGGGACCTCAGGCATTCATATAAATGATTCTATAGGATGTGCGGAGGTGAGGACTGGGACAGCACAGCGGAGGGAGTGACTGCTAAAACAAGGAAGCAGAATATTCCACAGAAGACCGTGGAATTTGAGCCAGATTTTGAAGTTGGACTAAGAGTTTGTAAGGTGCTTTAGTATTTCTGTTGCTGTCCCCCCTAATCATCTGTGAACTTAAGGGTGGTCTTATCACTTTTATGTAGGATCGTCCATAAAAGTTGGGCGATGCTATCTACACCATAGGTTCCCATAGGGTTGGGACCAGAATTTACTTATAATCAACTTATGTGCTTATTTTGTTAATTAGTAGGTTAAAAATGCAAGCTTTGTCTTTTGAAAAGGTAAGGGTTTTAGTCAGTCAGTTTTGTGGACTAAGGAATAAAATCTTACTTTTGTTTAATTTAAGTGACGGTGTTAATTGCATGGCTTCTTTCGCCTTGTAGTAACAGCATTGCTAATTATGGTTGGTCATTTATTTAATAATAATGAAAAGAAATTTACCTGAGGAACTTGAGAGCAGAGACCCCTGCACATCATTTCTATCTCGATTTATTCACTGTCACACTGTGGGAAGAGCTTTTGAATATTTTAAATTTATCTAGCTTAGTTGGTTTGAGAGTCATCCTGATACATGGAGATTGTGGGTTTGATCCCCAGTCAGGGCACATACAAGAAGCAACTAATGAATGCATACATAAGTGAAGCAACAAATCAATGTTTCTCTCTAAAAATCAATAAGCAAACTTTTTAAAAAAAACTTCTAGCCCAGCTGGCATGGCTCAGTGGTTGAGCATTGACCTATGAACTAGAAGGTCATGGTTCAATTCCCAGTCAGGGCACATGCCCAGTTTTCGGGCTTGATCCTCAGTGTGGGGTGTTCAGGAGGCAGCTGATTTATGATTTTCTCATCATTGATGTTTCTATTTCTATCCCTCTCCCTTCTCTGAAATATATATATGTGTGTGTGTGTGTGTGTATATATATATACACACACACACACACACACATATATAACTTCTAATATATATACACACACATACATATAATATATATAATATATATATATATACATATATATACACACACACACATACACACATACATATAACTTCTAAGATAAACAAAGAATTTTATCTCATATTTTCCAACTAAAAGAGATGGCTTATATGGAGGACATGTTATTGAAAAATCAAATTGTTTTTTTTTTGTTTTGTTTTGTTTTTTAAATATATTTTATTGATTTTTTACAGAGAGGAAGGAAGAGAGATAGTTAGAAACATCGATGAGAGAGAGTCATCAATTAGCTGCCTCTTGCACACCCCCTACTGGGGATATATGCCCGCAACCAAGGTACATGCTCTTGACCGGAATCGAACCCGGGACCCTTCAGTCCCCAAGCCGACGCTCTATCCATTGAGCCAAACCGGTTTCGGCTGAAAAATCAAATTGTTGAAATAGGATTTTGTAAGGGTAATGTTTATAGGGAATTGCAAACCCATTTCCATTTAGTGTGTAACGCTAGTTCAGTAATTAAGAGTGAACTGTGGTTAAGCCCTTTTTCTTAAACATTACAGGCAAAAAAGTTAGTAGTTCAAACACTGAGCCGGTTTGGGCATGCACGTTGGTGGACAGCCTTTGCCTCCCCCTGCCACACAGCGGATGACACCTGATAGGGCTCTCCCAGTGTGAGCTGTGACCAGGAGGCGGCTCAGGTGTGCGTGAGCAGAAAGCCAAGGTGCTCGAACTTTCCAGGGTGGTGGCACCCCGTACTTTTTCTTCATTTCCTTCTGGGCAGAGGTTGGGGCCTCAGGATTAGGAGAGAACTGAACATCCAAACAAAGCAGGTTCAGTTGTGTGACTTATGTTTTAGAAAAATAAACACAGGATTTTGCAAGTCTAAAAATAAGGTTTTTTCTTTGTTGTATTGTTCTTGTGTGGTAAAAGATCAATGGGGAATTTGTAATGAATGCTCTTATGGGTAATCTAGTCTGAAAGTTTTACATAACCTAGAAATGATTAAAATCTGTGGGAGGGGGCTTTTGACTTAGAGAGGGGTTAACAGTGTTGTGAAATTATTAAATTTTCTTTTAGTCGTTAGTGAGAACTCAATGTGGTCTGAGTAGAAGAAAATAGTGAAATCTTTGTAGATTTCAAACATTTTTTATTGATTTTTTACAGAGAGGAAGAGCTAGAGATAGAAAGTTAGAAATATCAATGAGGGATAAACATCGATGAGGGAGAAACATTGATCAGCTGCCTCTTGCACACCCCCTACTGGAGATGTGCCCGCAACCAAGGTACGTGCCCTTGACCAGAATTGAACCTGGGACCTTTCAGTCCGCAGGCCGACACTCTATCCACTGAGCCAAACCAGTTTCGCCTAGATTTCAAACCATTATGTCTGCTGTACAGAGTGACTGCTCTTCGGAGGCTTTCTAACTATTTAAACTCTTCAGGCTTGTTAATCTTTGTTTCTCACCTCTCCCCCATCTCAACCTCGAATTCCTTCTTTAGAAGGATAAGGGGTATCCAAAGATAGGCCAACTGAAAAGTTAATTTGTTGGCGATATTGCTTCTATCACCTTGATTCATTAAACAAAGAAGATAAGGTGAGTCATCTAAATGTTGACTTGGGCATTCCTAATGGAATTGAACAACTTCAAGGGACCTTGCTGTCAAAGACTGGTAGTCATTGCAGTATCAGTTTCTGTGTTTGAATCAGATATTCCTGGCAAGGGCTATTTGCTGATTTTCCTCAGAGAAACCATAAATACACCTGTGCCTCATTAGTATGTTTGATTTTTTTTTTTTTTTTTTTTTTTTTTTTTTTTCAGGATGAGCC